AAAGGCTTGGTATGTACTTGAGAAGAAAGCATATTTTGCTATTATTGGGTGAAGTGTTCTGTATATGTCAGGTAGGTCCAATTGGTCTATAATGTTTTTCAAGTTCTCTGTTTTCCAGTTGATCTTCTCTATGGTTGTACTATCTGTAATTGAAAGTGGAATATTGAAGTGTTCTGTTATGATGTTGCTATCTATGTCACCCCTCAATTCTGTCTATTAGCTTCATGTGATTTGGATGTTGGACTGTTAGTTGCATATATATTTATAATTGCTATATCTTTTTGGTCAATTGGCCCTTTTATAATTATGTAATGTCCTTGTCACTTGTGATACTATTTAACTTAAACTCTATTTTGTCTAAGTATGGCCATCCTTGTTCTCTTTTGGTTACCATCTGCGCTATCTCTTTCCATCCTTTCACTTTCAACCTTGTGTGTCTTTAGATCTAATGAGTCTCTTGCATGTAGTATATATTTGGATCTTGTTTTTTTTTTAATCCATTCAACCAATCTCTGTCTTTTGATTGGAGAATTAACCTATTGCATTTAAAGTAGTTACTGATAGGGAAGGGCTTGCTATTGTCATTTTGTTAATTGTTTTCTATATGTCTTGTAGCTATTTTGTTCCTCTTTTCCTCTCTTCCTGCCTCCCTTTATGTTTCATTGAGTTCTTTTTTTGGACATGCTTTGATTCCTTTCCCATTTTTATTTGTGTATCTTCTATAGGTCTTTTATCTGTGGTTACTGTAGAATTACATGAAAACATAGTTATAACAATCTATTTTAAATTGACAACAACTTAACTTTAATTACATACAAAAACTCTACTTCTTTACACCTCCTCACTTTTTCTATGTCAGACAATACATATTTTTATATTGTATATTCATTCACATAATTTGATAAAGTTATGCTTTTACCTTTTAAAGTCTGTGCTTCAATTAAAAGTGATTTATAGACTGGGTGTAGTGGCTCACACCTGAAATCCCAGCACTTTGGAAGGCCAAGATGAGAGGATCGCTTGAGCCTAGGAGTTTGAGGCCAGCAAGATCTTGTCTCTACTAAAAATTTTAAAATATTAGAGTGTGGTGGTGCATGTCTGTAGCAGCAGCCACTTGGGATGCTGAAGTGGGAGAACTGCTTTAGCCCAGGACTGCAGGGCTGCAGTGAGCCATGATCAAACCACAGTACTCCAGCCTGGGCAACAGAGCCAGACCCTGTCTCAAAAGAAAAAAGGAAAAGGTAAAGAAAAAAAGTGTTTTACTTACCACCATTACAGTATTACAGGATTCTGTGTTCACTCATATATTTACTTTTACCAAAGAAGTTTATATTTTGTATTGCCATCCAATGCCCTTTCATTTCCAGTTGAAGGACTTGCTTTAACATTTTTTGTAAGGTAGGTCTAGTGGTGATCAACTTCCTCAACTTTTACTTCTCTGGGGAAGTTTTTGTTTGTCCTTCATTTTTGAAGTACAGTTTTACTGGCTATACTATTCTTTGTTGACTTTTTTTTCAGCCCTTCTAATATATCATCCCATTCTCTTCTGGCCTGTTAAGAGTTCTTGCTGAGAATTCCACTGATAACCATATGACATCTCCCTTGTATGTGAAAAGTTGCTTTTATTCTGTTCAAGATTCTCTCTTTGTCTTTGACTTTTGACAGTTTGATTATAATGTGTCTCGTTGTAGGTCTTTTGCAAATTATCCAACTTGGAGTTCTTGAGCTTCTTAGATTTGTATGTCCATTTCCTTCCTTAAATTGAGAAATTATTTGTTACTATTTTTTTAACTGGCTCTCTGACCCTTTATTTTTCTCTTCTCCTTCTGGCACTTTCATAATGCATACATTGGTCTACTTGATGGCATTCTATAAGTCTCTTAGGCTCTCTTCACTCTTCATTCCTTTTCCCTTTTGCCTCTCTGACTCCATAATTTCAAATGACCAGTTTTCAGTTTCACTGATTCTTTCTTCTGCTTGATGCAATTGAAACTGCCTTTGCAAAAATTATAACTGAAGAAATTATGACAATGAAAGAGATCAGACATAATCAACTCCATCTTGCTTCTAACATTTAAACTGTCCTTGTTCATTCCTGGAGTAGGATAAACTAACTTTGGGAAGGAATTCAGTTCATGGTTTCACTCTGAAACCAAGTTGCTAATAGTGGTTTCCCAAAAAGATCCCCTTCTGGGGACCAGTCTGCCTTTGCAGGATTAACAAATTACCTACAGGATTAGAAATTACAGTTTAGGGGTTATGCAGCCTCTGGCTCCAAGAGTCTGAACCTCCCCAAATTGCTCCTGGGGATAACATCACTATTGTAAAACCTAAGATCAGTACTTGAGATATTTTGCAGACCCTGCACTGGATTAATCAGCTAACACCACCCAGACTGGTAATCTGGCTCAACCAGTTCTTTCATCCCACCCACAAACAGAAGACAGCAAGAAAACATCACTTCAACACCCTATGATTTCATCTACAACCTACTGAATCAGCACTCCCCACTTCCCAAGTCCCTACCTGCCAAATTATCTTTAAAACTTCTGATCCCTAAATGCTTGGGAAGACTAAGTAATAATAAAACTCCAGTCTCATGCAGAGTCAGCTCTGCATGAGTTACTCTTTCACCATGGCAGTTCCTCTGTCTTGGTAAATAAGCTCTGTCTAGGCAGGGTGCAAGCAAGGTGAACCCATTGGACAGTTACATAGTCTGTTGGTGATTTCCTATAGCGAATTTTTCAATTCAATTATTCCTCAGCTCCAGAGTTCTTTTTTTTTTTTTTTTTTAGTTTCTCTTTGTTAATATTTTCATTTTGTTCATGAATTATTTCCTGATTTCATTTAGTTGTCTATTTGTGTTGTCATTGGGCTTCTTTAAGAGAGTTAAGTTGGATTCTTTGCCAGGTAATTCAATTATCCATTTCTTTAAGGTTGGTTTCTGGAGATTTATTTTGCTCCTTTAATTTAGTCATTAGGTTTCTTTCTTTTTATGCCTTGTTGTTTTTTATTTTTAATTTATTTTTGCTGAGATTTGGACCTTCGAAAAAACTACTACTTCTTCCAGTTTTTATCAATTGGCTTCCTACAGAAGACGTTTACCTGAATCAGCCTGGCTATAGGTTCTAGCGGCCTCTCAAACCTTTTCTGGGAGTGCATCTTCTTTGAGTTTATACATGCAATATCCCAAGTAGAGGTTTGCCAGTTTTTTTTTCTGAAGCTGTTGCTCCCTCTGGTATCTGTCTGTGGTACTGCAGGTTTCCTGGTGCTGCAGTATCTCTGACCTCTCCTTTATTCTCAGTGGCTCCCATGCATCCAAAGTATGCAGGTTGGGTGTCAAGTTAGAGGAAGAGAGAGCTTCAGGCATCCTCACAAAAATGTTCCATTCCAGTCTTCTTTTTCCCCTGCTAATGGAGATGCGGCAAGTTGAGTGCTTTCTCCCAGCCACACCAACCTATTCCAGCTTGGAAAAGGGCTATCACGAGTATAGTGCAACAGCTTTTCTTATTTGATCAATGCCACTATTCTTGGCTTTGCACTTACCTGTTCTACTACAACTTCTTAATGGTTTATGGAACTCCATAACAGATTTTAGACCATATATTGTTGTTCAGTTGGTACCTTTGTGGAGACTCAAGGTTTGGAGCTTCCCATTCCACCATCTGGCTGACATCACTCTGTTTCTATTATTTCTTATTTTTATTATACTTTATTTTCTAGAGACAGGGTTTTGCTCTGCCAGTCAGACTGTAGTGTAGCCTGGAACTCCTGAGCCCAAGGGACCTTCTCCTCAGCCTACTGAGTACTAGGACTATTGGCACATACCACATACCTGGCTAATTTTTAAATTTTCTTGTAAAGATGGGGTTTTGCTCTATTGCCCAAGCTGGACTCAAACTCTTGGGCTCAAGCAATCCTTCTGCCTTGGCCTCCCAAAGTGCTAGGATTAAAGGTGTGAGCCTACCATGCCCTGCCTGTTAGACTTAGAAGAAAATATGTCTAAAAATATACTTACTGACTATATTGAATCCACTACCCAGAGCTTAAATGAACTATTTTTGTGACTCAGAATCTTTTTTTTTTACTTATTGCAAGTATGAATATATTAATATTCATGAATATAAAATATACTTTTTTATCTTTTTTTTTCTTTTTTCTTCACCAAAAGCAGATATTTGAATATACTGGAATCCTAATTGATCCTTGAATATTTATAGGACTGACCCGGGAACAAAATTTTTTTATGTTGTTGTTACAGTTTTTTTATGTTAAAATCATTTATTTTTCATATAGCACATCAAAGAAAAATCATTAATAGCCCTTACCAGCCATATGCTAAATGCCACAGGTGTTTCAGTCTCTCTCCATTCTTGTACCTCACTTGGTCTATTTTTTTTTTTTTTTTTTTGAGATGTAGTCTCCCTCTTTTGCCCAGGCTGGAGTGCGGTGGCACGATCTCACCTCACTGCACCCTCTGCCTCCTGCGTTCAAGTGATTCTCCTGCCTCAGCCTCCTGAGTACCGGGGACCACAGGTGTGCGCCACCATGCCCAGCCAATTTTTGTATTTTTAGTAGAGATGAGGTTTCATCATGTTGGCCAGGCTGGTCTTAAACTCCTGACCTCAAGTGATCCACCCACCTCAGCCTCCCAAAGTGCTCGGATTACAGGCGTGAGCCACTGTGCCTGGACTACTTGGTCTTTTAAGTTGGCTATATAAGGGGAGCATGTTGTGGCTTGTTAAGTCTTTGTTTTCTGAACTATTTATATAATGGACATTTCTGAGTCGTGTGTACATATTAAATTATTTGAGAATATGTATTTAAGGTACTAAATAGATCTACATGCTTTCATATATGTTACTATTAAAAGACCATTTTCATATAAGTGTTCTATTAAATCCTTACCTTTCTTCATGAACCACTTAGATTTGCTTTTCTGGTATGTAGTGTATGGGAAATATTTCTTCGTAAATTTTTTTTATTGTGTGCCCTTACAGGTAGTATAGTTCATAATATCCTATCCTCTATAAGGAACGTATGTGTTAGTCTGCTGGCAGGAACTGTTTTGGGATTTTTTCTTCGATATTTTCCAAGTGAAGACCAGGTAAATAAAGAATCTATTTTATAGAAGTATAGTATTAGACATTTTTTTCAAAATATTAAACTTTGGTAAGATCCATGAAATTTGACACTTAACTCTATTATTCCTCTAAAACTAGCCTCCAATGCCTACTGTATACTTAAAACTGAGCATAGCAGTGATTAACACAGGTCAATGGCTTTGATTAAAATCTCTGCTTCCTGATTTGGCAAATAAGGAATATCAAAAAATATACTTAATGCAGAGTATCCCTCTGAATTATACTTTCCCTTTCTCTACTAAATTGCCTATTGATGTTTGATAATTTCCCCAAAAATTTTCCTTAAACATTTTGGGGCAGATAGGTTCTCATTTATTTCTGCATATTTTCTGACTTAAATTCACTCCTACTCTACTTTGATATAGGCAGCACTCTTAAACTTAGCCATTTCCTGCTTTAAATGTAAATGCATAATTGCTTTTGTATTTCTGTAATTTCCATCCTAATTTAGCTGTAACAATTATATTGGCCAAAGAGATATTCAAATATTATCTTTTAAGAATTCATTGGAAAAAAAAGAAAAAGAAAAAAAATTCATTGAATATTTTATATGAAACTGGAGATTTTATGGGTCTCTTTTCTTCTTGACAAAGTAATACTTCAAACATTTTACTGATATTAGTATCAGAGATGTGGCAGAAGATGAAACGTTACTGACTGCAAATTTTGTTACATGGTAGTAAGTCAGCTAAAATATATGGTGAGAAAGAAAATCAAAATATTAGACATTTAATATAACATTCAAAGACATAATTTCAAATGGTCAAAAATATATGATAGATAATGTCAAATCTTGTATTATATATTTAATGTAAACTAATTTCTAAATATCTAATTCTAGGAAGAACTGTCATTGAAGAGAGGATTTCTTATTTTGACCATGTGTGTTTCTGCTGTCTTAGGCAGCCAACGTATTGGTTTACTTGGATCTGGAGGATTATGCACACTAATGATGAGTTTCATTGCAGGGACAAAATGGTCCCAAGGAAAGGTGAACATTTTTAATACACTATTTTTTTTAAAGCTAAAATAACTGAATTTTTGTAAATTACGGATATCAGCCCTTTGTCAGATGGGTAAACTGCAAAAATTTTTTCCCAATCTGTTGGTTGCCGATTCACTCTAATGATTGTTTCTTTTGCTGTGCAGAAGCTGTGGAGTTTGATTAGGTCCCATTTGTCTATTTTGGCTTTTGTTGTCAATGCGTTTGGCGTTTTGGTCATGAAGTCCTTGCCTACACCTACGTCCTGAATGGTTTTGCCTAGATTTTCTTCTAGGGTTTTTATGGTGTTAGGTATTATGTTTAAGTCTTTAATCCATCTGGAGTTAATTTTAGTGTAAGGTGTCAGGAAGGGGTCCAGTTTCTGCTTTCTGCACATGGCTAGCCAGCTTTCCCAACACCATTTATTGAACAGGGAATCCTTTCCCCATTGCTTGTTTTTGACTGGTTTGTCAAAGATCAGATGGTTGTAGATATGTTGTGTTGCCTCCGAGACCTCTGTTCTGTTCCATTGGTCTATATCTCTGTTTTGGTACCAGTACCATGCTGTTTTGATTACTGTAGCCTTGTAGTATAGTTTGAAGTCTGGTAGTGTGATGCCCCCCGCTTTGTTCTTTTTGCTTAGAATTGACTTGGCTATGCGGGCTCTCTTTTGGTTCCATATGAAGTTTAAGGTGGTTTTTTCCAGTTCTGCGAAGAAGGTCATTGGTAGCTTGATGGGGATAGCATTGAATCTGTAAATTACTTTGGGCAGTATGGCCATTTTCACGATATTGATTCTTCCTAACCATGAACATGGGATGTTTCTCCATCTGTTTGTGTCCTCTCTTATTTCGTTGAGCAGTGGCTTGTAGTTCTCCTTGAAGAGGTCCTTTACATTCCTTGTTAGTTGTATTCCTAGGTATTTTATTCTCTTTGTGGCAATTGTGAATGGAAGTTTGTTCTTGATTTGGCTCTCTTTAAGTCTGTTACTGGTGTATAGGAATGCATGTGATTTTTGCACATTGATTTTGTATCCTGAGACTTTGCTGAACTTGCTTATCAGTTTCAGGAGGTTTGGGGCTGAGATGATGGGGTCTTCTAGATATACAATCATGTCGTCTGCAAATAGAGACAATTTGACTTCCTCCTTTCCTATTTGAATGCCCTTTATTTCTTTTTCTTGCCTGATTGCTCTGGCTAGAACTTCTAATACTATATTGAATAGCAGTGGTGAGAGCGGGCATCCTTGTCTGGTGCCACATTTCAAGGGGAATGCTTCCAGTTTTTGCCCATTCAGTATGATATTGGCTGTTGGTTTGTCATAAATAGCTTTTATTATTTTGAGATACGTTCCATTGATACCTAGCTTATTGAGTGTTTTTAGCATAAAGGGCTGTTGAATTTTGTCAAAGGCCTTCTCTGCATCAATTGAGATAATCATGTGGTTTTTGTCTTTGGTTCTGTTTATGTGGTGAATTACGTTTATAGACTTGCGTATGTTGAACCAGCCTTGCATCCCCGGGATGAAGCCTACTTGATCATGGTGGATAAGCTTTTTGATGTGCTGTTGCAATCGGCTTGTCAAAGAACTAAAGCAGATTTACAAGAAAAAAACTAACAAGCCCATTCAAAAGTGGGCAAAGGATATGAACAGACACTTCTCAAAAGAAGACATACGTGAGGCCAACAAACATATGAAAAAATGCTCATCATCACTGGTCATCAGAGAAATGCAAATCAAAACTACATTGAGATACCATCTCACGCCGGTTAGAATGGCGATCATTAAAAAATCTGGAGACAACAGATGCTGGAGAGGATGTGGAGAAATAGGAACACTTTTGCACTGTTGGTGGGAGTGTAAATTAGTGCAACCATTGTGGAAGACAGTGTGGAGATTCCTCAAGGACCTAGAAATAGAAATTCCATTTGACCCAGCAATCCCATTACTGGGTATATATCCAAAGGATTACAAATCATTCTACTATAAGGACACGTGTACACGAATGTTCATTGCAGCACTGTTTACAATAGCAAAGACCTGGAACCAACCCAAATGCCCATCGACGATAGACTGGATAGGGAAAATGTGGCACATATACACCATGGAATATTATGCAGCCATCAGAAATGATGAGTTTGGGTCCTTTGTAGGGACATGGATGAACCTGGAAACCATCATTCTCAGCAAACTGACAGAAGAGCAGAAGATCAAACACCGCATGTTCTCACTCATAGGCGGGTGTTGACCAATGAGAACACATGGACACAGGGAGGGGAGCACTACACACTGGGGTCAGTTGGGGGGAAATAGGGGAGGGAGGGTGGGGGGTGGGAAGCTGGGGAGAGATAGCAAGGGGAGAAATGCCAGATGTAGGTGATGGGGAGGAAGGCAGCAAATCACACTGCCACGTGTGTTCCTATGCAACAATTTTGCATGTTCTTCACATGTACCCCAAAATGTAAAATGCAATAAAATAAATAAATGGGGAAAAAAAAATAACTGAATTTTTAAATATATATTTAGGAAATCCCCTCAGTCTGGTTGGAAAATATTCCATAAAGTTTTGTGTCCTAAAGAATGTGTGAATCAATCAAAAAAAACAAAGTATTTAGGAAAAGCACCTGGAAATACACTAATATGCAATCAGAAGTTGAGTTATCACATCAGGCTTCTCTTTTTCCCAAGTTTTATATAATATTATTATGTTACTTTTATCAATATAATTATTTTATTCATTAAAATTTTAATTATTCAATTAATCCATGAAAAATGTTTGTAAAAGGCTGGGCATGGTGGCTCAGCCTGTAATCCCAGAACTTTGGGAGGTCGAGGCAGGCAGATCACCTGAGGTCAGGAGTTTGAGACTAGCATGGCCAACATGGTAAAACCCAGTACCTACTAAAAATACAAGAACTAGCCAGGCATGGTGGTGTGGTAGCAGGCACCTGTAATCCCAGCTACTCAAAGAGTAAAAATCGCTTGAAGTCAGAAGGCAGAGGTTGCAGTGAGCCGAGATTATGCCATTGGACTCCAGCCTGGGCAACAAGTGTGAAATTCCATCTCCATAATAAATAAATAAATAATAAACAAACAAACAAATCAATAATAAAAAATAAAAATGCTTGTAAAAGAGTAAAACATATAGAATAAAATGTAAAAGATTTCTTTATTCCCCACTTCCAAATATCAAACCCCCTTATATTTTTTAGGTAACCAGTATTCTATTTATAGACATTGAGATCTTTTCCACTTTTTGTTATTTACAAACAGTGCTGTCATAAACAGTGTTGTTCATGTATTTTTTAAAATTATTATTATATTTTAAGTTCTGGCATACATGAGCAGAATGTGCAGGTTTGTTATATAGGTATACATGTGGCATGATGGTTTGCTGCACCCATCAACTCATCATCTACATTAGGTATTTCTACTAATACTATCCCTCCTCTAGCCTCCCATCCCCCAACAGACCCCAGTGTGTGATGTTCCCCTCCCTGGGTCCATGTGTTCTCATTGTCCAACTCCCACTTATGAGTGAAAACATGCGGTGTTTGGTATTCTGTTCTTGAGTCAATTTGCTAAGAATGATGGTTTCCAGCTTCATCCATTTCCCTGCAATAGACATAAACTCATCATTTTTATGGCTGCATCATATTCCATGGTATATATGTGCCACATTTTCTTTATCCAGTCTATCATTGATGGGCATTTGGGTTGGTTCCAAGTCTTTGTTCTTGTGAACAGTGCCACAGTAAAAATACATGTGCATGTGTCTTTATAGCAGAATAATTTCTAATCCTTTGGGTATATACCCAGTAATGGGATTGCTGGGTCAAATGCTATTTCTATTTCTAGTTCTAGGTACTTGAGAAATTACCACACTGTATTCCACAATGGCTGAATGCATTTACACTCCCACCAACAGTGTAAAAGTGTTCCTATTTCTCCACATCCTCTCCAGCACCTGTTGTATCCTGACTTTTAATGATTGCCATTCTAACTGGCATGAGATGGTATCTCAATGTGGTTTTGCTTTGCATTTCTCTAATGACCAGTAATTATGAGCTTTTTTTCACGTTTGTTGGCTTCATGAATGTCTTCTTTTGAGAAGTGTCTGTTCATATCCTTTGCCCACTTTTTGATGGGGTTTTTTTTTTTTCTTGTAAATTTAAGTTCCTTGTAGATTCTGGATATTAGCCCTTTCTCAGATAAACAGATTGGAAAAATTTTCTCCCATTCTGTAGGTTGACTCTTCACTCTAATGATAGTTTATTTTGCTGTACAAAAGCTCTTTAGTTTAATTAGATCCCATTTGTCTATTTTGGCTTTTGTTGCCATTGCTTTTGGTGTTTTAGTCATGAAGTCTTTGCCCATGCCTCTGTCCTGAATGGTATTGCCTAGGTTTTCTTCTGGGGTTTTTATGATTTTAGGTCTTACATTCAAGTCTTTAATCCATCTGGAATTAATTTTTGTATAAGGTGTAAGGACGGGGTCCAGTTTCAGCTTTCTGTATATGGCTAGCCAGCTTTCCCAGAACCATTTATTCAATAGGGAATCCTTTCCCCATTGCTTGTTTTTTATCAGGTTTGTCAAAGATCAGATGGTTGTAGATGTGTGGTGTTACTTCTGAGGCCTCTGTTCTGTTCCTTTGGTTTATATATCTGTTTTGGTACCATTACCATGCTGTTTTGGTTACTATAGCCTGTAGCATAGTTTGAAGTCAGGTAGTGTGATGCACCCAGCTTTGTTCTTTTTGATTAGGATTGTCTTGGCTATGTGAGCTCTTTTTTGGTTCCATATGAAATTTAAAGTCGTTTTTTCCAATTCTGTGAAGAAAATCCATGGTAGCTTGATGGGGATTACATTGAATCTATAAATTACTTTGGGCAGTATGGCCATTTTCACAATGTTGATTCTTCCTATCCAACAGCATGGAATAGTTTTCCATCTGTTTGTGTCCTCTCTTATTTCCTTGAGCAGTGATTTGTAGTTCTCCTTGAAGAGGTTCACATTCCTCATTAGTTGTATTCACATCTCCTTCACATTCCTTGTTAGTTGTACTCCTAGGTATTTTATTCTCTATGTAGCAATTATGAATGGGAGTTCACTTATGATTCGGTTCTCTGTTTGTCTGTTATTGGTGTATAGGAATGCTTGTGATTTTTGCATGTTGATTTTGTATCCTGAGACTTTTCTCAAGTTGCTTATCAGCTTCAGGATATTTTGGGCTGAGCTGATGGGGTTGTCTAAATATACAATCATGTCATCAGCAAACATAGACAGAAAGGGAAGCTGGGTAGGCAACTAAATGAGAATCTAATATATGTTTTGGTTTGGTTTTAAGGAAAAAGTAACTTTAAAGCATTCAACAGGGGTTCTTTGGAAGCAGGGCTAGCAGACTACCAAATTGTTTTTCCTGGTAGTGTATGCTATGTCAGGATTCACTTTAATGGGATTGGGTTCCAGGATGGTTGTTAGTGGAGGGCTTCCCAACCCCTTTCTGAGAACCCAAATGTTTTCAAGAACTGGTTATGTTCTGATCAGACATGATGTAGTTCTATCTCTGTTCAATTAACTTACAAACAAAATCTGGAACTCTTAGTAAACATGGCTAGAACTCCAAGGACATCACTTATTCTATGACAAAATGGCCAAATAGTATTATTTTATTGCTTTGTGAGTTACTTTTAATCAAATTCTACCTGTTTCAGTAAAACTATCAAAGTGCTCAGTTTTTATTAATTAAGTTTAACATTTTTGGAAAAATAGAATGTCTTAGTTTATTAAATGTTAAATGACTTTAGGCCAGGCATGGTGGCTTATGCCTATAATGCCAGTGCTTTGGGAGGCCACAGCCAGAGATGGCTTGAGGACAGCAGTGCCAGACCATCCTGGGCAACACAGCAAGACGCCATCTCTACAATAAATTTAAAAATTAGCCTGGCATGGTGGTACACACCTGTAGTTCTACTTGGGAGGCTGAGGCAAAAGGATTACTTGAGCCCAGGAGTTCAAGGCTATAGTGAGCTATGATTATGCCATTACACTCCAGCCTGGGCAACAGAGCAAGATCCCATCTCTAAAATACTTTAAAAGTTAAAAAAAAATGAGACTTTAAGTTTCTGAAATATATTTATGTGCCAAAATAATTATAAATGTATTTCTCTTTTCTATAGATGAAAGTCCAAAAGTTTATTACAAATGTATGGGATATTTTTCAACCACTTCTTTTTGGTTTAGTTGGAGCAGAAGTATCTGTTTCATCTCTTGAATCAAATACTGTTGGTAAGAATAATTAGAGCACAAAAAATATGAAATTCAAAAATATTTAAGAAAATTATGAATATTTTTATTTTTATTTACAATATATCTTTGAATGGCTACAAGGACCTTCTTCAGAAAACACATGTTGACACAATATGATATTTTCATATTGCTCTTCCTTTTCACAGTGTGCTCTTTTAAAAAAAATAATTAAAACAAAAAACAAAGAAACAAGGACAGCCCTGAATATCTTCCCTGAGTTATCTGAGGAAATAAATATAAGAGTTCTTTTCTGAGGGAAAATATTTGATACGATGAGCACTTTTTGAATACTTTCATTTAAAGGTATTGGCTGGGCATGGTGGTTCACGCCTGTAATCCCGGAACTTTGGGAGGCCAAAGCGGACAGCTTTCTTGAGGTTGCGAGTTCAAGACCATCTGGCTAACATAGGGAAACTGCCTATCTACTAAAAATACAAAAATTAGCTGGGTGTGATGGTGCACACCTGTAATTTCAGCTACTTGGAAGGCTGAGGCAGGAGAATCACTTGAACCCGAGAGTCAGAGGTTGCAGTGAGCTGATATCACATCACTGCACTCCAGCCTGGGTGACAGAGCAAGAATCCTTCTCAAAAAATAAATTAATAATAATTTTAAAAGTATTCCAAAAAAATCCATTAGTTCAGAATGGAATAAATGTCATCTGTCTTATTTTTCATGGTACCTCCACCATCAGATAATCTCTTGTACTTTACAGAGAATCCTCAATCATATTCATTTTTTATAATCATGGTTTTTATGTAAAAAATAAAGACATGGAGAGACAGTAGCCTTAAAATTCTTTTAAAAGTTTTAGAAATCATTTCTCTGGGCATAAAGAACACTTCTTCCCAAATATTTTGTTATTTATGTTTGTTTTCATCTGTTGTAGGCATATCTGTTGCTACTGTGAGTTTGGCATTATGTGTTCGAATTTTAATCACATATCTATTGATGTGCTTTGCTGGTTTTAGTTTTAAGGAGAAAATATTTATTGCTTTCGCATGGTTGCCCAAAGCTACAGTCCAGGTAAGAACATATTAAGTCTATTGTTTAATGCTTTCATTTTGATGCTTTTAAATTCAAAATGAAAAATGTTACTCCAATTACAAAATATGAGCTATTAGCCTTACTTTTTAAATGTTTGATCGTAACGATTCATTAAAATTAATGTAACTAGTTCAGCTACTCAGGAGGCTGAGGTAGGAGAGTTGCTTGAACCTGGGAGGCAGAGGTTGCAGTGAGCTGAGATGGTGCCACTGTACTCCAGCCTGGTCGACAGAGCGAGACTCCATCTTTAACAAACAAACCAAAACCGACAAAAAAAAAAATGTAACATTTTACCATTTTTATTTTTATTTTGAGACAAGGTCTCACTCTGTTATGAAGGCTGGAGTGCAGTGGCGTGATCACAGCTTACTGCAGCCTCAACCTCCCAGGCTCAAACAATCCTCCCACATCAGCCTCCTGAGTTGCTAGAATCACAGACACCTGCTACTGTACCCAGCTAATTTTTTTCTGACTTTTTTTTTTTTTTTTTTTTTAGACAGAGTCTCACTCTGTTGTCCAGGCTGGAGTTCAGTGGCGTGATCTCAGCTCACTGCAGCCTCCACCTCCCAGTTTCAAGAGATTCTCATGCCTTAGCCTCCAGACTAGCTGGGATTACAGGCACACACCACCACACCAGGCTAATTTTTGTATTTTTAGTAGAGATGGGGTCTCACCATGTTGACCAGGCTAGTCTCAAACTCCTGATTTCAAGGAATCCGCCTGCCTTGGTCTTCCAAAGTGCTGGAATTACAGACATGAGCCATCATGCCTAGCCTTTTTTTCTGATTTTATTTTAGAGAGGAGGCCTTGCTATGTTGCCCAGGCAGGTCTTGAACTTTTGGGTTCAAGTGATCCTCCTGCCTCAGCCTCCTAAAGTGCTGGGATTACAAGCATAAGCCACTGGGCCCAGCCAACATAATCTTTTTATATCTCAGTTTTAATAGCAATTCTTTTGAAATTAAAAAGTATTCTTTCAATGGTAAGTACTTCCTAAGTTTGTGAAAATATGTTTTGTATTTTCCTAAAATATATAAGAATATATCTGAAAATTGTAGTTTTTATGTTTTGCTGAATATAACAAAGCTAAATTGTTACGATTTTTCTAAAGTAGAGACACAGACTGGGTGTAGTGGCTCAAGTCTGTAATCCTAGCCCTTTAGGAGGCCAAGGCGGGCAGATCGCTTGAGGTCAGGAGTTCAAGACCAGCCTGGGCAACCTGGCAAAACCTCGTCTCTACAAAAAAATACACAAATATTAGCCAAGTGTGGTGGCATGATCTGTAGCCCAAGCTGCTTGGGGGCTGAGGCAGGAGGATTGCTTGAACCTAGGAGGTTGAGGCTGCAGTGAGCTGAGATCATGCCACTTCACTCCAGCTTGGGTGACAATGTGAGACCCTGTCTCAAAAAAAAAAGTAAAGTAAAATAGATACACATTGATTTTCAAAAATACCTTTCCTGTCTCTGCCACTCACTCCATCACACAAATGCACATATATTGTTTTTAATTTCACATTTATATGTATAACTATTTGGTCGATAGCTAAATCTCTACCCTCCCCCCAATCTTGATAGCCTATGTAATGACAGGGACAATGTCTGGTTGTTGCAGTTGCTTTTCATTATTTTTCCCTGGCACTTAACAAAGTGCCTGACATGTAGGAGGCAAATGTGTATTGCATGCCTACAAGAATAAATGAACAGAAAGGGAAACCTTATAATCTTGCCCTCTTATTCAAGGATATTCTCCTCCTACTAAAATATATTGCTACTTATTGTTAGGCTGTTTAATTGCTAGCATAATATACTTCAATTTCCTGTGGTTCTTTTCTCAGTTGTTATTCCAAAACAGAAGCTCCTAAATTTTCATGCAACAAAACCTCTATTATCATGGTTAGAAAAGCATGTTCATAAGGCTAGACTACCTGTTTTGAATACCATGTTACTTGCCTATAACCTCAGGAAAATTATTTTCTAACCTCTCAGTGCTTCAGTGTTCTTTCTTGTCTTACAATGAAGTCTATGATTGTATCTACTTCATAGCAGTGTTGTCAGGATCCATGTAAAGTGCTTAGCATTCTCTCTGGCATCTGGTGGTGCTCAAATAATGTTGTTATTTTATCTTACATTCAAGTAATATAAATTATAATATCTTATTTATTTTTAATGTCTGCTGCAGGGAATAATAAATCTACAGCTATCTATGCATCCCTCTGTTCTCTCTCCTTCCAACAATACTCTTGCAATTTTGTTTTATTATTTCATAATTTTCATAAAGCAGGGAAAAAAGAAAAGCAGGTATGAGGAAAGAGACCACTCACTCAAGTCCTGCGGTGTTATTCTGCTTCTGCCTATTCCTGTCTACTGGCTCCAGGCTAGCTTCTGCACAAAGAATATCAAGCTGGTTCCAGGAACTGGCAAGACATAAAAAATTAATTATTTATACAAGTAGAGTCACAATAGCAATAATAGATAATGATAATGTCACAAGTAAATAAGATCAACAAATATTTTAAATTTTAATTTTAAATTATTTTTACCTTTATCCTCTTCCACCATTCTCTGCTGCTGAAATAAAATTGGCTAGTGTTCAGCTCCTTCTCTTACTCCTCAGTTTAAAGTTACTGATAAAAATTAGAGTGGAAAAATAGAAGCTACTAGGAGAGTAAAGAAAGAATTTAGTTTACAAATGTAAGATCAGGTTGGCAATTGGATTCTTTTAAAGAAATAATATTAAATCTCAGTCACTAGGAGGAAATCATTTATGATCTATTAATAGTCCTCACATAATAAGGTTGTCATGAGAATTAAATGAGTTGTTAAAGGAAAAGCTTTAAGAATGATATCTGCTATATGATGAATGCCATGTAACTATATAAATATTATTTCTAGTTTCATCATCATCATCTCTTAGAAGTCAGTGGGTTTGTTTTTTGCTTTTTCTATTTGTAGTTCTTTTATGTTCAAATCCTCTTCTAAACTATAAGGGTCTTTAGAGTTGGTTTTCTCCCTGATAATCTTTTTCTCCCTTGCATCCTCCAGCACACTGGCTTGTGTTCAGTACATTAAAAGTTATTATATAAAAAGATAACCATTTTAAATTATTGATTTAGGATATAGAAATTGATCTTAAATTGAGGGGTTCTTTTCCCATAATGTTCCATATCAGAGGTAATGTTTCTACTGTTATGTTGTTACTTTGCAACTCCACAGAAAATGTGTTATATGTTGGTATTTAATTCCCCCAAATTTTAAGGCAATTTCATGCCTGGATTATTAAACACAAAGAAAGAGGGTTAGCAGGAAATTTGCTTTATGTTATTAAAAATAATGTGGTAGACAGTAACTAGGAAAAAAAAAAAAAACTTGCGACCCAGTAGAGTCATTTGAAAACAAAAACTTCAAGGGAATTCATTCTCTGACTGGTAGGGGATGAGGAGTGACTTGGGGGGAAAGAAACTATTATCTGAATACCTACTGTGTGCCAGGTATTCTTTGCATTCTCATATTTAATTTTCACAACCGTACAGTAAGATAAGTATTTTTTCTTGATTTTACAAGTAAATAAGTAGAAGTTTAGAAAGCTTGAGTCATTTGTACAAGATCACTAGCCTGGTTGTGGCAAAAACAGAATTCAAACCCAGTTTGCTAGATTCCAAGCCTGCTGTCAGTTCTGCTATAACACAGTGCCCCCGAATAGAGAGAACAATGAGAAGAAGGGCAACAAATCCTAGAGAACCATAAGAAACCTTAATATTTTATGTTGTTTTGTTGTAGCCAAGAACCACTGGTACATGGTAAAGGCAACTAAGCAAAACTGGTTTTGTTAGAACTCCTGGTGTTATGAGGGCAACATGAACACTCAAAAGAGGTATTTGAATAGAGGAAAACTGAGAGGACAAGAGCACAAAATCAGCCTGAAAATATTTGCCTGCTGATTTGTCAATATTGTACCCTTCCTCCACATCTAAGAACAGGGAATTGATGAATAACTTATGAAAATTACTGAGTACTTTCGTTTTTTTTTTTAATAGTCTAGTACTAGATTTTAACAGAGCCATTTATATGATCTATTTACTCAGTTTAACATTTTTCTTTATGCCCCATTTTTACCCCTAAATGCAGGCTGTATTAGGTCCTCTGGCTCTAGAAACAGCAAGAATCTCCGCACCCAACTTGGAATCATATTCGAAGGATGTGATGACAGTAGCATTTTTAGCCATCTTGATCACAGCTCCAAATGGAGCTCTACTTATTGGCATTCTGGGGCCTAAAATGCTTACACGCCATTATGATCCAAGCGAAATAAAACTGCAATTGTCAACCTTAGATAAACATAATTAAAAAGTTTACTTGTCATTATCTGCCTGCTTCTTTTAATGAATTATTTTACAAGAATTGTAAAGTAGAAATATGTGAAGACTATACAGAAAATCCAGGATTTAGTAAACATGTGATCTCAGTATAGGGCTTTTCTTGGATCTTTTACTCCAAAGTTAATTTAATAAAAATAATATTAAATGGAATGCTCTCTTGGTATTTACATACTGTAAGGACAAATTAATTCTGTAAATACCCTAGGAAAGTTCAAAGTAATCCCTCAGGCTGAATTTGATCTCATAATACAAACTGAGCTTAATGTAAAATTAAAGTTAGTGGCAGAAAGATAAAGCTTTGAATATTGAACTTGGTAAGATCGCCTAGGAGGAGTAGAACGCCCCATGACTTCCAGTAATTCAGTTAAAAAGATCGCCACAAAAAGGAAAAAAAAAAAGGAATAAAACACATCAACTTTAAATGAGTTAACTAAAAATAGATTTTAAATTCTGGTTTTGGTGACTACCTGAATAAATATGTTAAGTAATTGAACCAAGTTAGCCTTTCCTTACTTCTGCCATGCCCTTAAAATGAAAATCTGGTTTAGCAGTTTTTAGATGAAATACTATCTATAGTTTTTATTTATAGAAATAAAATTAAATCACAAATGGAAACAAACTATATATTTTAATTAGTATTTTTTAAATCTAGGCATAAAAGGCAGCCTGGAAAAATAGAAAAATTTGGGAACTATTGTCATATGGCAGTTTCTTTTCCTTAGTAATATAAAATTACCTTTTAATTCTGCCATGTTAATGTAGAGCCCATCACAAGCGAAGTGAGTTTTAATTAACTTCAAGACTCTATTTTAAAGTTATAAGAGTCATATAAAAGCTTCTCAAATGGCCTTATTAAATGGCATCTTAGAAATTGTTTAGACTTCTTTGGCAAAAGCTCAATGCAAGGACTGAATGTTACTTTCGTTCCTCTTTTTATTCTTCTACACAAGCAGGGTATTAAAATACCACAGAATATGAAATTAAGACATAAATTTGCCAAGTGAAGCAATTAAAATTTAAGGCAATCAAAACTATGTATTATTCCTATTAAGACTAAGGGCTTTCACAGAATATATCACTAAAACTGTAAAAAGTTCTAAAGCCCCCTAGGAAATAACTCTTAGAAAATACACTCTGGGAAAAGATGAAATCACTACTGTTTTAGTGACATTTTCTTCTATAATTTTAGAACATAGCACAGACTCCATTTTCAAATATTGTAATTCTAGTACTCAAATTCTAAAAATTTAAACTGTGCCACTGTTTTGAATAATATTTAAATCATGAGGGCATCTCATTGTCACTTGTAAGAAAAATATATTTACATTTACAAGATAGTATTTTACATTCATAAGAGGATTACACTTCAAAGTAGAAAGTTGATCTTAAAAGATTAGGAATTTTGTTCTTGATTAGGAGGAAAATTGTTGTACTTATTCTTTTTATTCTTTCTTTATAGAATTTTCTCTAAGAGTCTGTCATATATGTTTATTATACTTTTCAGTATAATAAGTCTCCTTTTTAAGGTAGTGTTGCAGATGTTGTTATTTAATTGAAATTTTAAGTTTTCTATTTATAAAACTTTTAATAAAAAAATTAAAAAATTATATATTACTGGCTGGGCGCAGTGGCTCAAGCCTGTAATCCCAGCACTTTGGGAGGCCAAGGCGGGCGGATCACGAGGTCAAGAGATCGAGACCATCCTGGCCAACATGGTGAAACCCCGTCTCTACTAAATAAACAAAAATTAGCTGGGCCTGGTGGGGTGCGCCTGTAGTCCCAGCTGCTCGGGAGGCTGAGGCAGGAGAATTGCTTGAACCAGGGAGGCGGAGGTTGCAATAAGCCGAGACTCTGCCACTGCACTTCAGCCTAGCACCTGGCGACAGAGTGAGACTCTGTCTCAAAAAAAAAAAAAGAAATATATATATATATGTGTATATATATATATATACACACATATTTTTTGTTCCTTGAGACGGAGTTTTGCTCTTATTGCCCAGGCTGGAGTGCAATGGCATGATTTCAGCTCACCACAACCTCCGCCTCCCGGGTTCAAACGATTCTTCTGCCTCAGCCTCCCGAGTAGCTGGGATTACAGGCATGTGGCACTACGCCCGGCTAATTTTGTATTTTTAGTAGAGACGGGGTTTCTCCATGTTGGTCCGGCTGGTCTCGAACTCCCAACTTCAGGTGATCGGCCAGTCTTGGCCTCGCAAAGTGCTGGGGTTACAGGCGTGAGCCACCGCGCCCGGCCGCCAAAGAGATCTTTAAGGCACTCACCATCCATGTCTTATAAAATCTTCCTGTAAACATTGGTGAACTTATTAACTCTTGAGTTCTGCTTCTCATTATTTATAAGACTTAAATAATCCAACAAGGACTTTGCTATCATTTAGAAGCATTCATTTTTTTAATAGATCGTTCAGCTGCTTCTATGTTTCAAAATGTACAGTTCCATCACCCTTGAAACCATTTCCACCCCAAAGCACCTGATGTGAAAGCACCTGAAGGCTGGTAGACTGGATTGCACATCCTGGGTGAAGCCGTCCTTTTCCCACTGATTCTGAACAATGCCCACCTACACAGTGGGAGTACCGGGTGAAGCCTCGGGAAGTTTGTGCCGTTTGCAGTGGGGAGGAGCCTGGCCTCTTCTGTTTCTATGTGGTGACCTGGGATTCAATCTGTGATGCAGGAAACCCGCTAGCAGGACTCTCTCACTTTGCTGTTGTTTTCCCTTTTGCCTTTCCACCCAATAAATTCCGTTCCCCCTCACTCTTCAAAGTGTCTGCATGCCTTTTCCTGGTCCTGTGACAAGAACGTGGTTTTTTATACAATAGGATGCCACCAAAAGCAGAAGATGTATCATGCAATGTTTTATAATCAACAGATTTGTCCAAATTTTTGATAAATATGTTGCCCACTCCCATTTTTGGCGGCGATGGATCACGCTGAGACCACTTAGTATGTATTGTCTTTTATAACATCAAAATTCATGGGTTCTTAAGCACATTCCACATTCTCCGTTTCCCAAGGAGCGCCGGTGATCTGATTCCTGTAGCCCGGGATGAAGAGGACTGGCCAGCAGGCCTGGTCACGTGCGGTGCAGGCCAGCTGATGGCTGGGGCACTGGGCTCACCTCGGCACCTGTCTGCGGGTAGGGCAACAGGCTGCGACCTTTCCGTGAAAGGAGAGCGAGGTCTGGGGCGGAAGCCTGAGCCAGCGCAGAGACGCAAAATCACCTGGAATTCAGAACTACACCACGGCCGAGGAACTGCGGCCCACAGCCGGCTGGGGCGAGGGTGGCGGTGTAGGGTCCAGGGTCCAGGCCTCGGTCCTGTTCCTTCTTAAAGTTGCTTCAGAGCCTCGAGGGGGCAGGTGGGTTGCTCTCGGCTGCTTCACTGGGTTAACTTACACAAGAGGAAAAGGAAAAAGCCTCTGGCAGTGGAGACAAGGATTTTTTTGTCAAGTATTTTGCATGGGTGGCGAATGTTAAGAGAAACCTTTTTTAAAAAAGGTTTTTTCATGGGATTTTTTTGGGGGGAATGGATTTTTCAAGAGAATAAACGTGTGCTGATCCTGGAGAACACACTCCACACTCTCAGCACTAACTGCCAGGGAGAGGGAACCCATTAATGTTTAATTGTACCTTCTCTCGTGACCTCATTTTTTTCCCTTTTAATTATGAAACATTGGAGCCTACAGAAAGGTAGAAAAAAATGGGCACCCACATAACCACCACCTAAATCCAATAAATTGTTAATACTTTGCCAGGTTTTCTTTATGTAATTTTTCAATTCGAATTAAAAGGAAATTATAGGCATCATGCTAATTTGCCTCTTTATACTTAAGAACGCATATTCAAAAACTAAGGCCATTCTCTTGCATAACCAGTTCCCTTATCCTTTCACATCAAGTTATCAGTAATTCCTTAAAATTACTCAACTCCCAAATATTTTCAAATATAAACACAGTCATGTCCCAGGTAACAGATTTCAGTCAACTGGTCAACCATCTACACTGTGGTGGTCCCATAGGACTAAAATGGAGCACATAAAGAAATTTGATAAGTGGGACATGGCCATTGATATTGGCACTGCAGCTCAAGTAGGGGAAACAATTGATACTCAGTAGTGGTGCTGGAACAGTTGATTTTCCTTATAAAAATACATAAGTGAAAATATATAGGGCCAAGTTCGGTGGTTCATGCCTGTAATCTCAGCACTTTGGGAGGCCGAGGTGGGTGGATCATTTGAGGTCAGGAGTTTGAGACCAGCCTGACCAAGATGGTAAAACCCTGTCTCTACTGAAAATACAAAAATTAGCCTGGCACGATGGCAAGTGCCTGTAATTCCAGCTACTTGGGAGGCTGAGGCAGGACAATTGCTTGAACCCAGGAGGCAGAGGTTGCAGTGAGCCAAGACCGTGCCATTGCACTTCAGCCTGGGTGACAAGAGTGAAACTCTGTTTCTAAAAGAAACAATTAGCTGGGCCTATGGCAGGTGCCTGTAATCCCAGCTACTTAGGAGGCTGAGGCACAAGAATTGCTTAGATCCGGAAAGCTGAGGTTACAGTGAGCTGAGACTGCACCACTGCACTCCAGCCTGGGTGACACAGTGAGATTCTGTCTCAAAAATATATATACCATCCAGGTTTGCATAATCACACCCTACGATTTACATTTTCTTAATTGTTTCCCAGTTATAGCAATTTTTAAAAGCCAGGATCCACTGGAGAACTGAACACTACATTTTCTTTGTCCCTAATTTTGTAATCCAGTACAATTTCTCCATACTCAAGCCTGTAAGGTTAGCGGAGAGAAAGGAAAGTAGACCCAAAGTCAGGGAAGCAAGTTTTATTAACCTGCTGGGCTAACCCATAATAATTAGAGGAGGCAGCCCCGAGCTTGCAAAACAAGGGGTTTATATGGAGTTAGAGGGGCATAAGGGAGTTTCAGGACTGTGATAATTTATCAGCTTGTTACAGGCACAGAGATAGTTTGCTAACTTGTGACAGACTTACATCATCCTGTGAATTTTGTGGCGGCAATTTTAAAAAACAACAGGTTTTTACAAGTACCTGTACAACAGGAATTTACAAGTATGGATAACAAATGTTTGTT